ATGTCAGAGTGACGAAAGGCGCGCGGAAGCCAGACTACCCACTTTTGGCTCTATTTTCACGGCTCTGTAAAAATTATAAATAATCGAGATACAGTTTCGGGAGTCGGGACTTTTTTCACGAAAATTCATTAATCTCTTCAAATCTTTTTTAAAATTTCCAAAATTTTGAAAATTTTCCGAGATATTAAGAAAAAAACTAAAGCCCCATTTTTTTCACTCAATTGTTTATAACTTTTGTAATTTTTAACTGGCGCGTTTTCGGATCTTTCCTTAAACTTTCTAGGCAAAAATACGAATCGAATGACACCTTGGTCGTAATTTTTGGACAGGGCTGAAAAATGTTACAAAAAAAAGTACATGTGAACTAGACTACTACTCTAAAGATACAGATGTCCCAACAGCTAAGTTCCCGTCATACAGAACTATTCTCTGCTGGTGTCCTCTAAATACGAGTATACAGCGAGTAACTATGCAATTATTCCGAGTCGATCCCTAACTCTGTTGAAGCAGTGTATCAATTCACCTCAACAACGGTTTCTTTGCAAAGGTTTCCCGTGTGTTTTCTTAGGAATGTCATCATGGTTTCAACCTCCACTATTGCTAGCCATCGAGACCACGTATTGGCCAGTGATAACTCCCTAAAATGCCTTTCGAAGATCTTAATGCAATTGATATGGGAGTGATTGGCCCTCAATTTTCTGCCGAATCCTGCCTGACTTTCACATATTTCAGAATGGAGATGGTCCCAACCAGTTTCCAGGTCCCCAAAGCTACACTCGGTATGAGGATAGGTTACTACGAATTAGGAACTGTGGACCTGCAGACTCAGTTGCGGAAAATCCATTACCGCCTTATATAAACAATCCAAGACGGATGTATACATTCGCGAGCCTGAATCACGGAATTTTGGAATAACCCGCAGGAATTTATATTCCACGACGGCGATGCCAACTAACAGTAAACAGCAAAAAAAACAACCATCCAGTCCCACGATTAACTATAGAATAAACAAACATTTGCCGAACGACCGCTGTTTCCAAGCCGCCTCTAGTAGAAAGAGAAAAAAACACCATCTCCGAGAATACCCCACCAAACACGACGGAGAGAAGCACGTTGCCAAAGAAAACCGAAATGCAACCGGAGTCAGTGCAGCTATGCCGGTCGAAGACAATCTCGCAGGAGATTGAGGAAGTTTACAGTGCAGGAATTTTGAAAAAATCGACGAAAAAAATCACCTCGAGTATTGGATGATGCAGGACGGTTGAAAGGAGTCGTGGTAATAAGGTTACGGTGTGTGTACCAGTGAAAGTGTCGAAAAGGCAGGAATTTTACAAAGTTTCTAGCATATTAAGGATTACATGCCATAATGAAAGTAAGGATTGAAGTACATTTATTTTCAGTGACCATAACTTTCTTTGGAAAAACAATCAATTGAAATGAATCTCTTTGAATTCATGAAATATATAACGAAATCAATAAATAAACTTTACTTCGGACTACTGAAATCAAAATTGATGGTGGGATTCTTATTCTATTTGAAAAAAAAAATGTTGAAAATGATAAATCAGTTTCGAATGACGGATCTACTGGTTAGGTATAATATTTCAATGCAAAGCACCCGATAATTTTGAGAATCTCTATAGAAAAAATTTGTATTTATCGAAAACAAAATTTAGATAACCACTTATTCAAAACATCAAGATATTCAAAGCGATATTTCAGTGAAATTTTCCTCATCTTGTTCTTGAATTTAAGTTTCCCACATGCTTGGGCAATTCACTGAAGGAATCAATTATGAGAAAATTTTTCTATGACTTTGTCAAACGACGTTTAGGTTGGGTATTCCTATTCACAATCTTGTATTACATTGAACGTCTTTACATTAGTGAATATAAAGAAGCGTTTGGGAAATAAAAAGTGTAAGAAATACCATAAAATAGCATGCTCTAGAAAAATAGAGTGACAATGGTCTCCAAATTGTAATCTCGCCATGATTCTGAAATTTTTTTCTGCAGATTCAATATATCATTCACTTGATTGGACGTTCCCAAAAATCAAATTCCATATCAACTAAAATGTTGATCTAAAACACAATAAGTAATATAATTGATAATGTCCCTCTCAACTGGTTGATATAATTAGACCGTTTCAATTTACCGATCACAATTATACTATAAGTTGATGATTTTCACATTAATTCGTTTTTATCATATTATTAGTTAGACACGCATTTGTCATTTCCATTGTAGATTATGTTTACAACAGTTAATTAATAATCATGTTGTCAAAAAGGTAGTATCATCCACAAATGGTGCACATTTTTCTACTTACTACTACATACTAGGACCTCCAACTTGGATAATTCTTGAGAAACTTAAAAGAAGCCTCTCTGACTTCATAATAAAGCAAGTTCGCTGAAAAAATATCATCAGAATGACAGTAATAGAAAATGGCAACAAAATGCCGTTGACTTATTTATACTATCAAAACTAACGTATGTAAAAGGTTTACAAAACCGCAGTAAAATCCATATTAGTAGAAAAAATTGAATTTTATTCATAATCCAAAATTGGTCCCACATTTCATATACATAATATGAACGTAGGAAGTCTCAAATGAACTAAAATAACCGAGAAATAATTTCATATCGTTCATATCGGTACGGTATTCTAGAAAAAAATCAGTTTACTGTCATTGAAAATTGCTGTTTAAAACGTGGAACAATTGAATAACTAACTCTGAGCGCGATATGTTCTTGAATGATCAATCCATTTCTAAGAATCGCACGATAACATTTAAGACCCCGTTGATCCGTAGCTCGCACAAGGTTTTAATTTTTGAGGATTGACGCTTTTACATGGATATGGAGCCTGTTTAACCAAAACACCTATTCGAAACTCCATGTGTCACATGATAATTCAATCAATAAAGTTTGGAAAAACTCCAGTACTGAAAAATCAACATTCATCTTCCCATAATCTTACCGATATTTTCTAGACACTCATGACCACAATTTCTTGACAATAGTGAATCAGCAATCGGTTCCTGGTTCACGAAAACAAATTCTGAGAAGTTTGATCATAGTAATTTGAAATACCCACACCAATAAAGCTGAACAAAGTGAGGTATGATTGATTGTATTGAAAACGATGAGTGGTTTGGACTCCAAAACAAATTACTATTAAGGAAAAACCCATATTCAACGTGAACCCGACAGTAAATTATTGGGTTGGAAATAGCAAAGAACGATTGAAAAAATGTTCAAGGATATCCAAGGTGATTGAACACGTTTTACAGATGAAAATATGTTGTTTTGTGATATACTCGTAGGTATTTCAGGATGTACAAGTATATTTCAAACATAACATATCACAAACTACTCCTTTTGGAGTGGGAATTTTCAGCCAGTCTTAAGACGCAAAAAATAGAAAAATATTAGATAGCAAATCAAGAAAAATTCATAACAATAAAAAATATTTCCTATTTTTGATATGTAATTCAATTTGAATTTTGTTCCACAAAAATTTCGGATCCAAATTTTCACTAGCATCGCTCGTTAAATGATAAAATTTCTAGAAAGAACTTTTCACGGAATCTCCTGATGCACTACGACTATGCGGCAAGAACTCCCAATGCACTACGTCACGCTATAGCAAAAAATTGCCGAACTCGCCAAACACTTCTGACTTTTAGACTTCTCACCAACAAACTAAAACATGCTAAATAGCTGAAACTGTGAACATTTATTCGAAACGAGTGTACCAACATTAAAAAAAAAACAATTGCTAATCGAATGTGCGTAGCCCGCGAAATTTGAACATTGACCTTATTTTTTTAACAGTCCATGTTTACTTATGCTAGTGTTTCTCAAACTTTTCGCCTGGGGACCCACCTTCATTATGGAATTTTTTTCGCGACTCACATATTGAATAATATTAAGTATAATTACTATTGCTAATAATATTTCGATTATTATTATCGAGAAAATTCACTATTGAGGAATACAGCAAGATGATATAATTGAAGATAAAATACAATACGAAAGAAGAATTGAAGGGGTTATATTTTTAGGAGTGAATAATTTTTCCTCCTGTTTCAGGAGGACTTTCTTTCAGTTTGTGTCTGAAAGTTACTTTTTTGCATGATCTACACATTCATGTATAGAGTTTCAAATTGATTACTTCCTTCCTTTCTTTGGAAGATTCTCTCATCCCTTTTTTTGTATCAGATGGAGTAGTAGAAAGCCAAAAACTTTCTTACGAAAAAAGACTTTTAATTCAGAATTTCAAAACTAAACAAATACAAAAAATGAAAAGTGAGACTTATGTAATTAATGTGACCTGTGAAGCTGGTGCTTACGATTTACAAGAGATTCTATATTTCGGTTGAAAGTTGAAAGCTTTACACGCAGGTCACTTTCCACACAAATCCTATTTCTATATTCTTTTTTTTTAATATACCAAAATGGAGAATGCCCTCTCTGACAAATATGTGGTTGAAAACCCCATCAGTTCTTTTAAGGCTACGTTCGAAAGAACTGCATACTCTCCCCTAGACTTTATCCAAAATAGGAAAAACAATTCTCCTCGTCAAGAGGAGAATACAAAAAGTATTCTCCTCTTGACGATAATCAAGTAGTTTTCATAAAAGAGCCTTAAAACAACGCCTTTTAAACTTATCATTTCAACCTTTTTCTTAAAAAAAATATTTAAATACTTAAAAAAGAGGAATGAAATAATGCATTCAACATTTAATGGGATTCGTTTCAATTTCACCATTTGGCAACATCGGTTATAGCTAATGAAGGACAATGAATCTGTTACCTGTATGANCAGTTTGATGCCAGGAGGGGGGGTAAAGAAAAGTTTCTAGTTCTCAACATTACCCACAAGAAGTCCTCGAGGCTATTTATCATCCATCGTTGAGCCCAAACTTGTGTTCAATTAGTCAATCAAAACACAGAAAGCATAGAAAAATGATGATCCTTATCTAAGTAAATAGAAATAAATTCAAAGTTCATCACGTATGTGAAGTTATTTTAAAATTATTAGAATCGAATCGTTACGTTAGATGTCACGAAAGGTATAAAAATACAGAAAGTAAGAAAAATGCCGTGGTATGAGCGAACAGCCCTAAACTCAGTCTACTCATTTAGAAAGCTACCCATTCTATCGGGAAGTGATAAAGGCTATTCTTCATCTCTTCACGTGATGGGGATCAATGCGGGTGAATTTTCCCAAAATTGGGCTGTGTGGTATGGTCAAATTGTTAGAAATGCACAAATGATGAATAGTTCTTGTGGATGACAAAATGGTTTAGACTTTCGCGGCTGAGGTTTTCAGAGGTTGGGTTAAACCTCTGAAGAAGCTAGCCAATCGCGCCAGCGAAACGTCAGGAAGAAATTCTGAAAATCTACGGCTTTCAAACTCGAAAAACAATGACACTGAAGTTCTTCTGGACGTGAATATTTCACATCCAATTTATAGAGATACTCCTTTTCAGTGCCCGAAACTAAACAAATTCCAAAAAACAGGTAGATGAATCCTTTTTGACCTCTATATTAATGAGGCATGTCTATTATTTGACAGTGTTTTCAGATATATCCAAGGCATACACCATATCTCAAATCGGAACCGGAAAAGCTTCCATTTGTGTCTGCAGGTTACTGACCAGCATTTTTTTTCCCCGAAAGATATTTGTATGTGATATTTGCCGGACATTACTTCATTTCATGAGTCATCATCCCCAAAATACCACGGAGTTCAGTTTTTTCCTCGATCATGTTTCTCACTCAAAAAAAAAAACGGATACGACCTGTCCTATCGTGCTTTTCAGATGACAGTACACATTTTCTTATAACTTCCTATAAATCATAGGCGTCATCTGTCTTTCAATGCTGTAGCGTCAAATATGGAGTTACTAAAAATAAAGTACTTACTTTCGCACATCATTTGTTATTCATAGGCGTTAAAATCGATTATTAAGTTTTCTGGGTAAAACCCATTAGTTCCTATATTGCTCGTATAAACATCCTTAAACATACTTAACATTCCTGATTCCACAATTATATATGAATCATTTATGATGAAGGAACTAGGTTTTACAAAGAGTGCACAATATTTATATGTTCAAGTGCATGCTTGTTTCGTATTACTAAGATACATTTCAAAATGATTAATCTACTACTCTCTCACTACTTGTCTAGAGAGTAATATAGTATTCACTATACAGCGAATATAAAAAGTTTATGAAGAATCAGTGTTTCGTCCCCACCAGCCTTTGTATTTTTGTGTATGAATAATCAATAAGTAGTTGAACATATTTGTCAAACTTTCCTTCACGTTCGATATAATTTCCCTTATAGTGCGTTTC